AAAAAAAAAGAAAGTGGCAGGCCTGGTGTGCGGAAACTGCTTCCCTCTCCGTGGAGGCGTGAGGAGGCTGTGTGCGCACCGGGCCCGCGGTCACCACGCGGCTAGCCTGGCGGACAGCACCGCTGGTTACGGGTGGAGCTCTCGGCGATAGGAGGGTCCAGAGAGGGGGTCCCCGTGGCCCTGCAACCACCAGCAGGCCCCGGGGGCTGGAGAGGATGTTGGAGACGCACAGAACTGCAGCTTTGGGTCATGTTCTCCTGGCCCTGCCACTGGCTACTGCAGCTCTGGCCCAGAGACGCAGTTGGGGCCACTCTCAGGGGCTGCCCGGATGCCTGCACAGCAGCAAGAGGAAAAGGTCTTGCCACGGGCGAGAGTGAGGGGGACAGTGGGGCGGGGGCTCTGCGGGCAGTGCCCTGGGCTCCATCCCTCCATCCTTCCTGTGCAGGCAGAGGTCGGGCGGTGGCTACAGCTAATGGCCTGTGGCAGCTCTGCTGGGCCCTGTGTCTGAAAGGGAAAGTGCTCAGGGTTTTGCTTCCACCCAGCCTGAAGACTAATGAAATCCTTGCGGCCACCGGCTAATCATTCGGCTACTACGGGCGCAGGCTAAGGGAGTCTCGGCTGGTGCAAGGCGCAGAAAGGGTTAAAGGGTCCGCTGTTGATCTGGAAAACGCTCGTTCAGACCTTCAGAAAACCACCAGCATTATTAGCATGAATATTTAACTAGGCACCACTGTGAAAATTAAAAGGGAATTCAATTAAAAGGTTTCTAAAAAAATATATATTAATTCTGACCTCTCTACATCTGTCCAAATAAATAAGCCTCCTTGAAACATTTTCACCTAATTGCTAATCCAATAAACTAGGAGGGCATTTGCGAGTTTCATTAAGCGTCACACTTTGCAGGGGTTAAAAATGCAATCATTTTCCTGTTAATAATAACGATGCTTACTTATCTGCTCGACGACTACTCCGCGCTCCCTCCAAGCCCTCTGGAAACCAGGCCGCACGTTAGCGGGAGCTATTTCCTCGGGCTCATCTTAAACTTAAGATCTTACAGAGGTGAAGAAACGAGGACAAACTGACACTTGTTAGCGACGGTTACTGTGAAATTTATTTCAGAGTTTCAGGATTATCTTAACTGTCGCTCAGCGCCTTGGGTCAAATTGACCTGCACTACTGGTTCTTCTTGGGGGAAGCGGCTTAATCGTCATTCTGCCTGCCATGACCTTATGCCCACAGAGAAAGGATCTGGGTTAAATTACAACTCTAGCACCCCCCTCAGCAAATATATTAGAGAGCTGAGCTTTTAGAAATGTTTCCACTCACAACCTGTTCCTGCCAAAGAAATGCGAGATGGGTGAGCACTTGACAGAAACCCTTGAGTGAGGGTGGTGGCCGTGTGGCCGGACACTGCTCCCACCCGCCCACGCCCGGCAGCTGGTGGAGGGCGGAGGTGAGGGAATACTCAGTGCCGGCACGGCTGTGGGCCGTGCAACATGTTGGAGAGATGGAGAAGTTGAGACGGAAGCGATGAAGGTGCGGGTGCAGGTCCCGAATCACCCACCAGGCAAACGCACGGCCCAGCCTGGCTTGCTACTGGCCGAGGCAGAGGACCGCCCAGGGAGGAGGGGGAGCGCGACGTGGAGAGCACCCCCCTCGAAGACCCTCGGTGCTCTATAGGACACGTGACATTCCAGGGTGCGGCGTTAGACTTTCTTGAGGAAGGGGGACTGGGTTCCCCTCCTCCTATATGGGGGGCTTTGGGCACATAATGGAGATGATGGTGTAGTGAATGATGTCTTGTAAGACACGACACGTGGCTTCATTATATTCTCAGAGCAACGAAACGACTGCTGTGATTTCCACTAAGGCAACGATCCACAGTCATCAGACTCTGACCTTTCTACCCAGACTGTGTGAAAGAGCCAAACTTATCCAACACAGGCCCGCTCTCCAGACGTCCGAGCGTGGGCAGCTGCCTCGCGGCCACTGTTAACGCACCGATCTCCTTCTCAGGGAACCATTCTAGGTGCACTCTGACCTCTGAACCATAAAGCGTCGATGTGCCTTTGGCGGGAGCGGTTGGGCCTCTGTGGGCCCGGGATGTGCGGCCAGAGCTGGAGGGACACAGGGAGCGAGGTGGGCAGTCCGCGGGTCCCATGGGAAAGGCCTCCCTCTGCTGTGACTCTGAGACCAGGCCAAGTGGCCAAGCTCCGCATGAGAACCCTGGCCCAGGCTTGACCTTCCCAAGTGTCCCAACCTGGCGGGCAGCTTTATAAACAGCTGTGGGGGGCTTTGGGGAGCTCTCCAGTCCAGTTCCATGCCTCAAGGCCCTAAAGGTCAGGCCTGTGTGAGTGACCCCAGCCACCTCCCCATGTCTCTCAGCCCTGGAAAACACTCAGAGTGGGCTCAGTAGGAATTGGGGGGGGGTGCTTGTGCCCATGGGGGCCCTGCAGGGCAGGCGGGGGTCTGTCCTCTTCCCCACACTTCCCCTAGCCCCACAGCACAATGCGTGCGTGGGTCCTGACCTGGAGGCGGTGTTGGTTCAGACTGGTGGGTCGCCACTGGTTTTGTGCAGTATTTTCCAGGTGGCCAGCAGGGGACAGGTCCACCCAGAACTGGGAATGCATGGGGGGCCCTGGAAGACCTGGGGTCCTCAGGGGTGGCAGAGAAGCGCACGCATGTGCCACTGGGTCGCGGTCATGCCAGCAGCCCATGACACATGCCTCTGAGTGGGCAGCGCACAGTGGGAGAGCTGGGGGCTGGGCGGGGGGGCGGCACACTCTCCGGGGGGGTCCTCAGTTACCACCAGGTTGTAAACCAGAAACTATTCCACTGTGGAAAGATAGTGCAGGGGGCCTGGGAAAAGGCACCAGGAGCGGCTCTGCCTCCTTCGTGGCCAAGAAGCTGCGGGTGGGACACGTTCTCGGCCCTGCGCCTCTCCACGTCCCACGAGGCACCCATGTGGGTCGGCCAGCGCTTCAGGGCACCGTTTTCCAGTCAGGTGCTGCTGGGACTTGGGAGTGTAAAATAACTCGGATCTCCTGTCCCTGGGACTGAACTTACATAAAGGGTTGGGGGAGGGGAGGGCCCCTGCACAAAGTTTTGAAATAATGCGTCCATGGAAAGTGAGTAACAGTACTGTAGATCCCAGTGCCTCCTGAACAGTGGTTTTAAGAATATAGCTCAATCTTGGCAGAGAAGAAAGGCCGCTGGGCGGCTCCACAGCTCCCGGAGAATGCACCAGGTCCCAAAGAGAGCCGAGATCACCGGGAAGTCCCAGATGGGGTAGGTGCCGCATCCCGCCTCCTCCAGATGGAACCCTGGTGACCATGAGCCTCTACAAGCATAGCTCGAGCATGCGGGAACCAGGACTTTTACTCCAAACCTTATACACAAAGTGATCAATGGGAAGTAAATCATCCAACGTTTCTCCCTGAAAATCAGGCTTAACTCTTATACAAACCACAACACCCAATAGGAGAGAGAGAACAAAAGGGAATGCCCTGCCACAGAGGCAGAGTGGAATGGGGGGGCGGGGTGGGTGGGAGGGATATTGGGATCCGTGGTGGTGGGAAATGGTCACTGGTGGAGGGATGGGTATTCAAAATAAATAAATAAATTAATTAATAATTAAAAAAGAATACAGCTCAATCTCTCTCTCTCTCACACACACACACACACACACACACACACACACACACACATATTTTTGGGTTTTTTTTTGCTTTTTTGGGTCACACCCGGCAATGCACAGGGGTTACTCCTGGCTCTGCACTCAGGAATGATCCCTGACGGTGCTCAGGGGACCACATGGGATGCTGGGAATCGAACCTGGGTCGGCCTCTTGCAAGGCAAACGCCCTACCTGCTGTGCTATCGCTCCGGCCCCCACACACCCGTTCTTAAGGACTATGGTTTTCAATACAGATACTGAAAGGTTAGCATGTATATGCCTTTACCGACTTTCAACACTCCGTTCTTAACCAGTGTGAGCATTTCCAACTATCATCAGCAGACTGGTCCCTTCTCTATCTTACCTACCCTCCACCCCACATGCTTGCGGTAGATTCCAACCACAGACCAGTGCTCCTGGTCTCTGGAGAAAGAGAGAAGGAGAGTGTCTACTATAGAGGAGGGCTGGTGGGGGGGGGGCGTCGTGGGAGGGAAACGGGACACCGGTGCTGGGAAATATACACGGGACAGATACTGGGACACTGTATGACTGAAACCCAACCACGAACAGGCTCTCTCCTGGTGGTTCAATAGAAAAAGGAAAGTAATCAAGTAATCACTCCTTTTAGTGGTCAGGGTTCCTGGCCCCTGTCACTGAGAGGGGGATTCTGCGTGACCGGCACGGGCTCCAGGGGTCTGGACGCCAACTGAGGCAGCACCAGGATCAGACAGAACCTAGGAGGGCCCAGTGGACACCACACTCCTGCCTGCTGGCTCAGGCTGGCTGCGGACATGGGATGTCCCTCACGACCTCAGTGGCGGGCGGGACTCTGCTCATCTGCAAACCTGAAGCGACTCCAGAGCCATCTTCTAGCTGGAAGGTCCTGGGGCTCCCAACAGAAGACCAATACTCGCCATACAATGCTATGAAACAATGAACCGATCAAACGGTCATACACACAACCGGCCATTTCTCCGTTAGGGTCCCAATCCAGATAGAACTGTGAACGGTCATTTTAACAGCTGGACCCGGGTGGGGACCCCAGTCATGGCCAGGCGTGCCTAGGGGGAGGGGGGTACTGCCTCCACACAGGTGGGCCTAGACCTTTCCAGGTCTTGAAGTGCATTTGGGTCAGATTTCACCCAATCTGCAAGAAAGAAAAGCCATCCCTTGTCACCGTTACTGTCACACGGGGGATTTTTCCAATTCCCCTGTCTGATGAGGAGACATCTTAGGCCCTTTAAAAGACGCTCATTCAGGAGACGCATAGGTACACGGCATAGGTACATGGCCCCAGGAGCACAAAGGTTGTGGCGCAGACTCACCTCTTTCCTGTGGCATTGGCGACTGACTCAAGGCGGGATGGGAACTGGGCTCGGACTGGCTCCCGGGAGGCTGAGGGGGCAGCTGGCTCCCTGCAAGACACAGAAGCAGGAGGGGACACACATCCGTTACTGCTGCAATTAACTGTGCCCAGCCACGACACAGACACACGCCGTCTTCATGACACAAAAGACACAATCCCCAGAGCCAAGACAGAGCCTGAGAGTGGAGCATGTTGGCGGGGGGTCTAGTGTGAAAGGTGCCGTGCAGGCCTGGCCTGTGTGAGGTCTGCAGGGGGGGTGGGTTCCCTGTCCCCGACTGGGCAATGCCGTGTTGCAGGGCTGTGGCCAGGAGTGGACCCGGGCACTGAGTCCACTTAGAAGGTGCCACCCATGCCCTCCCTCCCCAACGCACAACCTAGTGTGATCTTTTACCCTTCCTAGTAAAACAGAGATACGCGTAAACTGATTCATTAGCAGATGACCTGCTGCCAAGTTCAACTGCTCTCTGAGTGAGATCTCAAAACGCACGAGCGAGTCAACTGGAAGCTGGCATCTCCCGGCACGCGCTCCTTAGGCGCCTCTACCAAGACTAACGCTCGGGGCCGCTCAGAGCGGGCAGCACGCTTCTGTCAGCAATGTTTGCTCGGCTGGGAAGACAGTCCACCTCTCCAACACATCTTCATAAGCGAAGGGCTCGCCTACACTCAGGCCCCCCCCAGGAAACAAGCCGCTTCACTCCACACGCGGCGTCATTCCAGAAGGAAATAATCCGGCAGCCCCCGCGTCTTTCTCGCTAATACAGCCAGAGCATCTATTTAGCATCTATTTGATTTCCATTTATTCAGTGTTTGCTCAGTTTGCCTTTTCAAACTCCAATGTAAGCTCCCCGGGACGGGAATCATGTCTTTGACTCCTTTAATCCCTGTATTAGCATAACAAATATTTAATAAATCTCTGTTATGGCATGGCCCTTAAGCTGAGAATAAGCATGAAAGGAAAAGACACTTATTTAATTATAAGCTGAGACAGGTGTCACGTGAAGGCAGGAGACAGGACTGGGAAATTTCCCAAGGTTCTCGGCGGCGACCCTGCCCACTTCCCCCGCTCACAGGTTTGCCTGCATTTCTAGAATTAAAATATGCTTGTGTGTGTGTGTGTGTGTGTGTGTGTGTGTGTGTGTGTGTGTGAGAGAGAGAGAGAGAGAGAGAGAGAGAGAGAGAGAGAGAGAGAGAGAGAGAGAAAGGGCAGCAGAGATGGAACACAGTCCTCAAGGATGTCCTGGCACGAGGAACACACAGTGCTGTGGTCCAAACCTCTCCTGGGCTGAAGCAAGTTGTGAAGGAGAAATACACACAGGATAAGTAAGCTAGGCACACGGACATGGGGCGGGGAGTGAGGCATGCCAAGATCACACGTGCCGCAAACTCTCCCAGTGGCCAGAGGGCCGGGGATCTTCTGCTGCCCAGACGCTAGGCAAAGATGGTTCTTCCACATCCCTATGGACACTCCCAAGCAGCACAGATGGACAGGACCGCGGGTGAGACTCCTGCCCTGCATGCAGTCAGCCTGGGTTCAATCCCCAGCACCACACCTGGACTCCTGAGCCTGGAATCGCCCCGGAGCACTGCTGCATGTCTACAAAACCACCCCACGCCCAAATAGATAAATTCTTCCTCTTTTTTTTTAAATTAATTTTTTTGGCTTATTCTCAGATGCGGAAATGTTGAATAGTGAAGCATGTACTCTCAACAGAGTCAGAACAGGTAGGGAAGGACAACCGGGAGACTGACCTCGACCAGCAGGAGCAGACATATGTGTGCTTCCACACATGTGTTTCCACACATACACGTATGCTTTACCAAGCTTGTTTCAGGGGTCAACATTGGTGACCCATTTGGCGACGGACACACAAAAGGCTCTTTTGTCCACTCAGGGTCACGGGCTTCCTAGGAACCACTCGGATCTCAAGTCCGTTTAGAAAATTTACAGCGCTCCACGGCCAATACCGACTTTAAAATGTCACCCAATACCGACTTTAAAACGTCACCGGGGACTCAGCAAGTGCTCACACTGTAACCATTGTTTCTGCACGCCAGCCTGAATTCATTAGGGCCCTGAGAGCCCCCCAAAATAGTAATTCTACGTGAATACAGGACCCCAGACTTACACCCTGCCTGCCCCAGGCACTGTTCTTATGTACATTATTTCAAGTGGCAGGAAGGAAGCAGTGAGAGACGCATCTCATGAATCCCTACAGCACTGTCATGTCCAAGGAGCGTGACGGGCTGCCTGGTGCGAGTCTCAGACAATTCTTTAGAGCAGAGAGGAGACTCACTCAGTCCTCCCTGCAATCCACAAACCAGAGTTTCCGTAAGGCTGAGAGAGGTCTGCTCAAACTGTCTAGAACTCTCTGCATGCTTCCATCCCTAGTTTTACAATAAGCCATGACCTCCTTCCTCCCCAAACGCACAGGGAGAAGCACGGTCAGAGCCGGTGATGTGTCAGAAGAGGGGTTGGGGAACATAAAGTAACAAAATAGGAGACTAACACCCAAGAATGGCCGAGGTTACTACCAGGAATTTTGCTCCATGGCTTGGAGGCCAGCCACACGTGCTAGGGGAAAAGGCAGTTCAGATAGAGAAGGGAGCACCTGTATTGCATGTACTGTATGGGGTTACCGTGACTAGTGGCTTGTTGCAATGCTTCGAGCTCGTGGGGCTGTCCAGTCCTGGCCTCTCATCTCTTTCCCCACACACCCTGCACCCTTTCCTAGCATGTCTTTGGTTTCCCCCATGTAAATTCTGGTATCAAGTCACTGTTTTAGAATAGCTTACATTTAATAGTTTTTACGAGGATCACAATGCTACAAGAAGAACCAATGACTTCAATTCTATTCATCTCTTGGAGTTTTCTTGGCCCACACCCGCAGTGCTCGGGGTTGGCGCCTGACTCTGAGGTCAGGGATCATTCCTGAAGGGGCTCGTGGGACCATGTCCGGTGCTGGGGATCGAACCTGGCTCAGGGATGTAAGGCAAACGCCCTCCCGGCTATACTAGGTAACAAGTGCTCTAGCACCTTTTGTTCAGGTTTTATTTCCCGGTGGGCAAATGAAAATTTTGCACATTTTGTGTAAAATTTATTTCTAAGCATTTTATCTTTGCTACTATCATAAATGAGATTTTTTGTCCATCATGACTGATTATAAGCAAAACATTATAAGCCTTACTGTATATAAGGCTAGATTATTCTGTGTGTGTGTCACACCCCACAGTGCTCAGAGTACCTTGGGATGCAGGGGGTCAAACTAGAGCCTCTGACACGCAAAACAGACAACCATGTACCGGCTCGTCCTTCACGCCCTACCAAGGTCATGAGTTGCCCCCCACAAGCGGCTCTCTGGCATGGCCATGGCTCCAGACGCAAAAGGACTTAGTCCAGAGCCCAGCAGCTTGCAGAAGAAAAGTGAATGGACCATGCGTTAAACTACGGCACCATGCCTTCCCAGGAGGGAAAGGGTGTTGCTCCCTTCCGCCTTTTCCCCCCCTGACAGCAGGGTGGCCGCTGCCCCAGAGCTTATAGAAAAGCCAGGTATGCGCCCGCGGTGACGGGGCAACTGCAGTCTCATGGGAAGGGGGGGTGGTACTGGCACGTCCTTCACGCCCTACTGAGGTCACGAGTTACCCCCCCATGAGCGGCTCTCCAGCACCGCCATAACACCAGACACACAGAAACCAATCTCGTAATTATCTGGCTTTTTGCAGAAATCCAAAATCGCGTGACATTATATGATTCTCATAACCAGCTATAGAAAACAAAATATTTCACAGTGCCATTTCAGCAATTCTGATGGTTTGGAGGGAAATTCTAAACAATAATGTTGCATCTTTTGTCGAAATAATGAATGTAATCAATGTAGAGAAGAGTTAAGTAGAAATCATCTGCCTCACAGGCATTGGGAGGAGTGGGAGGCGGGTATATTGGGGTCTTGGTGGTGAAGAATGAGTACTGGTGAAGGGAAAGGTGTTTGATCATTGTATGACCGAGACTTAAATCTGAAAGCTTAGAAACTTTTCCCACAGTGACTCAATAAATAAATATAAAAAGGAAAAAAAATTAAGGTGGAGTTCATACCCAATTCAATTAGCTAATCAGTGGCTGAATAAATAGCAGTACTCCTACAAAAAAAAAAAAACAAAAACAAACAAACAAAAAAACCAGACAACCATGCTTCTGGTCTCAGTTATTGGGTTAGTTTTTTTGTCTGTTAAATTCATCTCTGGCTGCTGCAAAGAATTCCTTTACCATCTGAGTTAATTTATCAATGATTCTCTGGGGTATTTCAGATTACTACTATATCAATTAGAGAGCTAGCGTCATTTCTTCTGTGTCCATTCATATTTCTTGGAGTTGTCTAACTGTCCTGGCTGATATCTCAACGCTGCTGAAAAGAAGTAGAAGTCATCCTTGCCTTGTTTGCATATAATTTTTAAAAAAACAAATTCTAATGATTTCCCACCTTCTAAGATACTGCCTTTACCACAACGAGAAAGAACCATTCAAATCTATATCCTTGTTTTGTTTAGATCATAACCAGATATTGAATTTTACTGAGGGAGATGGTTTTCCTTAAATTTAGCATATGGTATATAACATTAATGGAGTTAATATTGAACCAACCTTGTATTCTTGTAATAAATCTCCCTTAGTCGTGGTACATTATTCTCTTAATGTACTGTTAAGTTTTTATTTGCTAATATTTCTATAGACTATGCTAGGATAAGGGTGAGGAAAATTTTTCTAACCAAAAAAATAATAACTTTAGGAACTGGATCAAAAAAAAAAAAAAGCCCCATCAAACTAGAGATTTTCAGGATTAAAAAAACACTGTGATTTAAGTGTTTTATATATAATAGAACTAGGGAAAAACTGGGCTACTGTGTAAATTAGCCAGTACCCAAATAATCTGAGAAATCAGCACATATCCAAGTCACACATAACATGCAGTGCGTAGACTGAGACGTAAATTATAGCTCTCTGTAATTGATAGAGTGAGGTGGTTTGGCCGTCAGTGCTGAGAGGGAACGAGGATT